TCCCCCATGTCTCCTGTCTCTCCCTCCAGCCCTCTCTTCCCACATCCTTCATCTCCTCTCCTCTCTCTCCTGGGCCGTCTCTCCCACACTGTTCCCGTCTCACTCCCATCCTAGCGCCTGTCTTGCTGGGAAGAGCTCTGGGGGCTCTGCTGGGGGAGATGTCGGGCACCACCACCCGCCTGGGGAACAGCCAGAAACCAGAGCCCTCCTTCCTCAGTTTCCCCCAGTCCTGTCCCTCGCCTCCAGCACGCCCCTTGAGTCTGCTCCCATCCCTCCGGTCAGCAACACTGCCCAGGCTCGGTAGGCCTCTGGGCCCCGGTCCTGCCCTCTGCGATGGGCTCTCACGAGGTACCCAGGCCCAGGCTTCACCACAAACCTGAGGCTGCCTCTCGCGACTCACCCCCCACCCCCAGGCCTGGCATTCAAGGCCGTTTGTTCCCAAGACAAGCTCTGCTCCTTCAGAGCCCCAGGCCTTTTCTCCTGCTCTTACCCCTCCTGGGATGACCTCTCCCGCCGCCCACCAACCCTCCAGACTGTCACAGGGCTCTCTGCAACGGGAAGACCCGTCAAAGTCTGCCTTGACCCTCCGCACCAGAAAAGATGGTTTCCTCGTGGGGGGCCCCTTCTCCACTGCGCCTAACCCGGGTTGTCAGGCCGTCCCCCTGCTGGACTGGTTTCATTGGTCTCTGTACCTCCAACACCTGACACGTGGTAGATGGTCCCTAAGTGTCACTGACTGACCCCCTGGAGTGATTGTCCCGTGCCACATCTTCTCGTGACCTCAATTTCCTCATCAGTAATGTGGACGTGGAAATGACTGCTCAGTGCTGGCATTCAGGACCGCATGGAGCAAACAGAGAGCACCTACTGTCTGCTGAGTTATACATGCTGGGTGTTGAGACCCTAAGAGGATGGTGTGCTCATGGTCAAGCACCAGTCGGAGGTGGCAGGGGGGTGGCTTCTGGTGTCCGGTCTGGGGGTCTGGGTAGTCCTCCCTGCAGCTCTCTTCTCTGACGTCACTCGGGGATAAAGGTGCCGGTGCTCCTAGCCCCCTGGTCCCCACCCCCAACCCTGCCCTTTGCAGACCCCTGGGGCATCAAGTCACCCTGTCCATCTGCACTCAAGCTAGATTCTTCAAGCCCCACCCAGGAAGCTTCTAGGGCATCAGAGGCTTCTTTTGGGTGTGAGTCAGGGGCTTCCCACCAGGCAGGAATCTGGGGGTCCTGAGATCCGTCTCCTCCCCCTCCGCCCATCTCCAGCCTTCTTCCTGGGCAGGCAGGGAGGGGGTGGGTCTCTATGCTCTCTCTGTCACACACACACACACACACACACACACACACACACTCTACTCACTCACTCACTCACTCACTCTAGCACAGAATCCTGTTTCTGCCGCTCATTAGCGGGGTGACCCTGGGCAATTTATTTAATTTCTCTGGATCCCGGCTCTCCCATCTGTAAAATGAGCTTCCTGACCCCTCTCACCGAGGACTGCTGTCAGGTTAAGTGGGATAACGGAGGAGAAGGACACCTGTCTGGGGGAGGGGGCTGCAGCAACTCTGGAGGGTTGCCAGCATCCTCCTGGGCCCCTCTGGCTCTGACCTTTGCTGCCATCAGCTTAGTCGAGTTGGGGGATGGACTGGCTGACCTGCCCAGGGCTGGCCTCGTGCACATCAGCTCCAAGGGGAATCCAGCCCCACAGTGAAAACCCCAGTCTCACAAGGCCTGTGTGCATCTAGCAACTTTCCCTGGGGCTTGTGGGGAGAGGGGACTGGCATATCCAAGTCCTCCTGTCTGGGAGCTCCTCCCTGGGGGCTCCCCCTTGCTGTGACTCCACCTCCTCATCTCCTCTCTTCTGCCATTGCTTTCTGCTCTTTCCCCTCTGAAACTTCTGGTTCTTCTCCCCTGACCGATCCAGCCACGATCCTCCAGACTGGGCTCTGGGTCCACCTTGGCCTCTCTGAATCCATCAAACGCCTGCTCCTGGGAGGCCCAGCATTTGGCCCTCCTCTCTGAAACTAACTCTAAATCTCCTCCCTGTTTCATCCACAGTCAGCATTTCTGGATCTTTCCATCTAGTCACATTCTGCAGCCCTGGCACAGGCCTGGTACCCAATAGATGCTTAATAAAATCTCTTGGAATGTTGAAGTTTGTTTTCTGCCACTGATTTTTTAGCTGCTCCCATGGTGGGCTGCTCCCAGGGCCTGGTTCTTAGGCATCCAGGGAGCTGGACTGAGAGCAGTTCTTCTCCAGGCCCTGGGGGGAGGGATGCCCTCGAAGGGTGAGGGGTGGCCAATGTGAGGGTATCACAGGCCATCTTCTCCCTGCCCTTGTGGATGGGGTAACTCTGCCTGTTTGGAACCCTGAAACCTTGACTCTTAAGAGTTCCTGAGTCTTGGAATTCAGGAGCCTAGTGAAGAGTACAGACTGGCCCCCTGAATTCAAATTATTAGCTGTGTGACCTTGAGCAAGTTACTTAACTTTTCTCTGCCAGTGGTTCCTCATCTGTAACACAGTAGTGACGATTTACAAGACTGCGGAAAGGATTTAATGCGTTAATATTTGTCAAGGGCTTAGACCAGGGCCTGGTGCACAGAAATGCTCTGTGAGTGTTTGAGAAATAAATCAGTGTGGATTCTGAGGAAATTGGAATCTGTGTGCTCCCAGGATCTTTATGCCTAGGAGGGACCCGTCTCATGTCCTTGGGCAGGAATTTGACCCCAGCTTCCTTTAGTCCCAGCTTGCTTATCCCCACTGACAGATGCTCCCTACTCTTGCAGCCATGACAATTGCTAGAAAGTTCTCCTCAGGGATGGAGAGGAGTCTGGGCTTCTCTTCACAGCAGCTGCTGGAGTGTGAGGACCCAAGGCTTTGACTTTGTCCTGGGTAAGGGGATAGTGAATCTGGTCCAGCTGTCAGGAGGGTGTACAAGGGGCCTCCAGGCCAGGGCCCTGCTTACTTACCTCCTGGCAGGGGCCTGGGAGGCCCCTGCTCCCAGGGCAGGGCAGGGTCTAATGAGTGTGTGTGTGGCTGCTGCAGCCTTCTGCAAATACCAGGCGCAATATAAATAGCAATAATGAATAAATGAAGCTCCTGCAGCCAGTGAGGGCCTCCAGGAGGGACTGGCGCAGCCCTGCTTCTTGTGGAGACCTGGAGTTGCAACCCCATCCCCCAGCAGGTTTGAGGGTCACCCCTCATTCACTGCTTCCATGACCTTTACTCTATGTGCACCCTTTATGTCCACAGAACCTATCCCAATGCTGAGTGGTGGGGTGGGCAGAGGGTGAAGGAATGCACCATGAAGGTTTTTGCTGAAGCAGAAAGCATTTAGGTTGGACACAAAGCAGGACTTCCTGCCAGTGTGGACGCTTGAAGGAGGCTGGGGTGGGGGTGTTAATCCTGTCGGGATAGGGAGGGACTGGGATCATGGAAGAGGGCAAATGTCTCCTTCAAACTGAAAAAGAACCGTGAAATGATCAGAGCTGCTCAGAGAACAAAGGAGCTGTCCCAGAAGGTGGTGAGATCGACGTCACCTCAGGTATGCAAGTGGGAGCTGGGCCCTCACTTTGGGAGACTGTGACAGAAAAGCCCCAGTCCTGAGAACTCACCATCTGCTGGCTTCTCAGGGTCTAGCCTGTGAACTTAATGAAAATGTTGCCAGAGGAGACTGGAGAGAAAGCAAGCAGTAGCTGGCATCTTCTCCCTGCCTCGCTGTCTGATCTCTTTCACTCTCTTAAGCCCAGGGCTGTCCAGCTGGGCACTCAGACAGTCAGGGCATGGAGCGCCTGCTCGCGCCACCTCCTTCCTACCTCCAAGTCTTTGCACATGTCCCTTTTCCCTCTTCGATGCCAGTTCTCCACCCACCTCGTCTCCTCTTATCTCAATCCTTCACGTGCCTTTGAGGTCCCGTGCAAGCCTTTGGCCCTGGATGAGGTCTTCCCCGAGACGTCTGATCTGCAGCCCACTCTGTTCTGAAATAAATCCATCCCGCCCGCGGACGCCTTCTGGCCTGCTCAGTCCATGCCTGTGAGACACCACCGCCCAGGCTGGTGTGTGCTTACATGACCTTGCGCTGTGGTCTGGTGATGAAGGTTTGCCTGGTTTTCCTGGATGGATGAAAAGGTAAGGAGCGATGAATGTTTGTTGAGCACCTACTAGGTGCCAGGCATGGAGCTAAACCCTTTTTAGACTTCTCATTCTGCAGAGCATGAACTTAAATTCTTTTATGTGGAATCTGTGTGTTCCTTTCACAGAAGAGGAACCTGAGGCCCAGAGACTTCAGGGGGCTTCCCAAGGTCCTCTGACAGGCAGGGGCTGAACTGGGATCAAGCTTGAAGGCATCCTCTTCCAACTCTCTGTCCATTTAGCAGACCAAGTGGTTCCAAGGGAGGTCTCAGTATCCCTTCACCACAGCCCCAGCCCAGCAGGGTGTCCCCACTCCCCTAGCCTCCAGGGGATGAAGTGGGGGTGGGAGAGCTGAGCAGAGGTTCTGACCCCTCTGGGTCCTGTGGCCCCGGCTTCCCTGGAGGGAAGTGGTGAGGCTGGGGCATTTGCAGCTGGAGTGAGGCTTCCATTCCACCTGAGAGCCCTCTTGGAAGCCTTCCTGGAGGAGGTGGCTTTTCAGCCAAGCCTTGAAGAGTGGGAAGAAGCTGGGTGTGGGTGAGAGGAGGGGAGGCTGCCTGGGCTGTGGAGTGAACCTTTGGAGTTGAGTTCTAAGCTGGGCTCCACCTTGGAGAAGCTGGTGGTCTTAGACGGGCAGCCCCTCACCGGGGCGGCAAGGACCCTCTCCCCACCTCTCACAGCATCTCGGTTAGAATCCGGACAGTAATGTGGCCAACTAGGCACTGGGTCAGTAATGGGGTCCCTCCCTTTTTAATGCATGACGCAGCCCCCTTGTGGAGGGGATAGGACCCTCTCCCAGGCACGACCCTGAATGTTGAGGAGGTGGCCTCAAGGCTAGAGGGGGCTTCCTGTCCTCTTGGGAGAAGAGGGGGCTCACCAGCCGCCGCCGTCAGTCTGTCTGTCGCCTCCACGCCTCCCCCCTCCAGCGTCCCGCGCCTGCAGCTTTCCCCGAAGACATTTGGTGTCAGTATAAGGACGGCTTTGCCTCGCACGCGGCGCGGCTCGGTCTCGCCGCCGCCGCACGTCCCCGCACCGCCGGGCGCTCGGGCTCCTCCGCAGCCCCCGCCGCGCAGACCCCGCTCCTGAAGCCCGCGGCCGGAGGCGCGAGCCCAGCCGAGCCGGGCGAGGAACGCGGCCCCAACCCCGCGCACCCGCCCCAGGCGGTCGCCCGCGCGGGCTCCTCTCCGGGCATTTGCCCGCCGCGCGGTCCCCGCAGCGCCCCCGCCCCGGGCCCGGGCCCCTGCCCGGGAGCGCCGCGCTCCCGCCCGCCCGCCCGCCGCGCGCTCCAACTCCGGCTCGGTCCGCGGCTCGTCCGCGCTGCCGGCTTCTCGCCTCCCGCCGGAGCCGCGCAACACTCCCGCCAGCCCGCCGCCTCCCCGCGCCATGGCCCGGGCCCCCGGGCCCGCCGCCCACAGCCCGCCGCCCCTAGCGTCCCAGGGGCTCAGCTGATCCTGAACTGGCGGGGGGCGCCTGGCGGGGCTGTGGGTCCCCCTCGATTTCCGGCTTCGGGGGACGCGTCGCCCCCGCGGCTCTAACGTGGACGACCCCCCCCAACCCCCCACCCCTCCGCGGCCCGGCCAAGTCCATGCCAAGGTAGGTGGGGGTGGGGTTGGAGGTGGTGGTCGGGGAACGGGAAGGAAGGGAGGGCTCCGTTCCGATGCCAATTTCTTGGCGCGTCGTGTTCTTTATTGGGGCGTTTATTTATTTCTGGGGACCGGTCCCCCCACCCGCGCGTGCCCATCAGGTCGGCCCCCCACCCCGTGCCTTGGGGGTAGGTGCCTTGGGAGGAAGGACGGGAAACTTTGACCGGTCCCTACTCCAAGGCCACGAAAGTTCTCTCCGTGCCAATGCTGAAGCCGGCTGAGCCAGCGCTGCAGAAATTTATTCAACAAGTCAGGCTACCGGTCGGGGGTTGCGGGGCGGGGGGTGCCCAGGCTGTCTGTCCGTCTATCCCTCTGTCCTTCCGCGGCTGCGGCTCTGCGGCCGGCGGGACCGGAGCTCGTGCCCGTGTCCAGGGGGCTGAGCTGGGAGTGTTGGCGGAGGCAGGGCGGCCGCAGGGGGATTGCATGGGGGGGAATCCCAGGCAGCGTTTAACTTTACTCGAGGCCTGGGTGGGAGCCGGCCCCCTCCCTGGTCAGCACCCCGAGGGTGCCCAGAGCCTCGCTGTGGGAAGCCAGGCGGGGGTCGGAGCTGGGACTCTAGGGGGTAAAAGGAAACCTCAGTAGCTTGGGGCTGGTTATATAATGAGTGTTTATGATGACTGGGTTTTAATTGTGTGCTGGGTGGTGTGTGTGTAGGATGTGGGGCGGGGGCAGGAGGCCTTGGCAGGGGTGGGCAGGCCTCTGGGGGGAGGGCATGAAGCCTGGCTGGAGGGGGCTCTTAGTTGGGCCCAGGCTGATGCATCAGTCAGCTGCTCTGCTTCTGTCTTTCTTTCCCTTCGGGGTCCTGGGGGCTCTTGAGTCGTGAATGAGGTTGGCCTCTGGAGACACACCGGAGCTGTATTCTGGCCCTGGGAGTCTGTGGTCTGGGCCCAGGTGTGTGCATGTGTGTGTGTGTGTGTGTGTGTGTGAGCGAGAGAGAGAAAGCGAGAGGAAGCTTGCTTGCGTCTGCTGTGGGGTGTGATCAGGTCTGACATGTCGACACGCCGTGTGACGGCGTCCTAGGGGCTGGGGTGCTCAGGATGGCCTGACCAAGGAGCCAGTCTATCCTGCTGTCTCTTGCCGCCTAGGGGACTCAGCCAGCAGATACTGGCCCTGTCTCCAGCCAGGGTGCTGTGCAGATGGTGCTGTGGGTCCGTGGGCTGGGGCCCGCGGAAAGGGGTCTGGCCGAGGAGCTAGGCTGCTTGCCCACTCCTCAGGCCCTGTCCACGCTGGCAGACCACCACTCAGATCAGTGTCTCCCCTCAGCCCCCAGGACTGGCCCTGGAAACTTATCCACCCTTCAGGACAAACTTTCTGTTCAGGCTCCAGGCCCTCTGGCCTGGGATGGGGACTGGGTTGGGGCATCTGGAGACCTCCCTGTCCCCTTCCCTCCTCCAGCATCCGTGCTGAGCCCAGAGTGGGAGGACCCAGGGGTGATAGGGCAGGTGGCACTCAGCTGGGACGATTCTGGGGCTGCAGTCTGGGGGAGGAAAAGGGAAGAGCCCCATCCCAAGGGAGTGCTAAGCTGGCTGGTGCCAAACTCGCCTCGCCCCCCAACATTGCCACCCCCCAGGGGTCTGGATACCACTCCAGGACCTCTGGGCTCCCTGCCTGGCTGCTCAGAGCTGCCCAAGGCTGCCACTGGAGCTCCGTGGGGGGCAGCTTGGGGGAGGGGCGGCCAGCCTGGCTGAAGGTCTCTCCCAGTTGCTTTGATGGAGGTCTTCCACCCCCTTTTCCCTCCACCTCTGTTCCAGGCGCTTCCAAGAGGGCATCTTCTAGGCCCACCAGGGGGCACCACGCAGCAATTCTCTGTGCCCTGATTCCCCTTGACCTTGGGTGGGGAGGTGGGGGTGGAGGTAGCTGCCAGAACCACCCCTCTCTCCTCTCCCTCATGCTGGCTCCAGACAAGCCTGCCCCTCGCGAGCCCCACAGCCAAGCTGGGAGCAGTTTCAGGGACTGGCGTGTGACGGCAGCCTCCCAGGGGTCCTGGACCCAGATCCACATCCCGAACCCGCAGCGGGGGTTGGGGGTTAGTCGCCTCCGACTCTCCTCCCCCTGTTCCCCTCCACTGCCATCTCTGACCCCCTCACCCTGTGCCCCAAGTGGGGCTCCCCGGGAAAGTCTGCCTCTGGGCCCTCTCTGTCCCTCCCCCACCCTCGAGGGGCTCCTGCCTGGCAGCTTCTGAAGGCAACAAGGTGACAACGGGCTCTCCTGAGGCTCCTTCGTTCCTGCCTGTCTCCTGGGCCGCCTTGTTCACTGGATGCCCAGTCAGTGCACTGGGTGGGGGCGGCAGGGGGTGCATCGCTCTTCTCCCTTCTCCTCCATCCCCTCTCCTCTTCTGGCTCCCCGCTTCCTTTCTGTCCACCCTTCCCCTTGCTCCTTTCTGACCTCTCCTCGCCCTCTGGTTCTTTTCTGCAGAGCCTTTTCTTCCCACAAGTCCGCAGGATGTGCTCTTGGCTAGTGACCTCAGTCCTTCTTGCCCGCGGGAGTCCGGCATGTGGCTCTGCTGGAGGCCCAGAGACCGCCCAGGGAGCTGGGAGCGTGTGGTCTGTGGGCCCGTGCTCCGTCATCCGTGGATCTCTGTGAATGTGTGACTGTGTGGGTCTGCGAGCCTTTAGGTCCGTGGGACTGTGGGTGTAAAGTGTCTGCGAGCCGGTGAATGTGTGGGTTCATGGGTCTGTGTGTCCGCACGTTCGTGGGTCTGTGGATCCTCATATCCAGGAAGATGTGGGCTGAATCTCTCCCCCTCATGGCTGCCAGTCTACGGAGGGAAGAAAACAAATCTGATTTCCTGGATTCCCTTCTCTCTTTTGGGTTTGATAAGCACCTACTATGTGCCAAGCCCGGATCTGGGCGCTAGAGGGATGTAGTAGTGAACAGAGGGGAGCAGACGAAGGCTCAGAGCATCTGTGCCCCTAGGAGGGTTCTGGGGCATCCCCCTGCCAGGTGCCCAGGTGTGGGCACCTGGTCATAGGGCCTGCTTTCCTTGTGCATGCTCAGAAAGGGGAACCAGGCTGTGTTTGGCACCTGTGGGGAAGGGTGCAGATCATGGAAGGCTTTGGAAGCACAAGGCGTTTGGGTACCCTGGGAGCAAGTGCTGGGAGCTTCCGGGGCTCCTTGAACAGGAGAAGATGAGAGGGAAGTGGTTTCTACAGGGTGGAGGCCACAGTCTTTTGGGGCCAAGGTCAGCACAGGCCTGGTCCTGCCTTGCAGACCTTCTCCCTTCATCTTGGAGGCCCTCACTCTGCCAGTTCCCCCTCTCCTGCACTCTAGCCTGGGCAGTCTCACTGAGAAGAGTGTCAGGGTTTTCCTTCTCACCACTGACCACCGGCCCTGAGGAGCAGTCAGGGCTGCCCTTCACTCGCCACTGGTCCAGGGACTCAGGCTTCCTCCCTGGATCCCTCAGCTCTTGTCCCAGCCGGGAGAGACATGAGCCCATGCAGGGTCACAGGCCTGGGCCCTAAGGGGCAAGGCACTTAGCATCATGGGAGCATCGGCTTCCCATAAAATTGGGAAAATAGCATCCACCTTAAGGGATTTTGGTGAGGCTTAGAAATGTCTCTGCAGTGCCTAGCACGGGGCATGGTACAGGGAAGCTGCCTTTTTTCCTTAAGGTGCTTTCTGAATCTCCTTCCCCATTCGCTGTCCCTTTCGAGAGACAGAGAAAGGACCCTATGTTGCATTTTATACAAGAGAAATGAAGCTTGCTGTGACTACGATGCAGAGCAGGTGGAGCTGGGACTCCGGACCCAGGGTTCTTTCTGCTAGAATGCTCTTCCTCCATCAGGGGCCACCATCACACTGACTGGTTCGCTGAAGTAAGACCCGAGGCCCTACTTCCTGCAGAGAGACTGAAAAAGGATCAGCAGAGTCACCAGCTGGGAGATGTTCAAACACAGGGATAGAGATTCATACACAGCCCCACTTGCTGGGGCTTGTCACGAGGCCGAGGGCCGACAAACAAATGATGATGCCTAGTGACAGACACATGGACAGGTCCTGAGGGCGAGAGCATGACTTCAGCCTTCCGTCTACGGCCTGGCCTGGGCAACCCTTTAACTGGGAACCTGGATTTGAACCCCCTTCATCCAAATCCTAGCTCTTTGACTAAGTAGCTCTTGACCTTGGGAAAATCTCTGCATCTCTCTGTACCTTGATTTCTTCACCTCTAATTGGAGAGGGCAAAAGTGCTTACTTCGTTGGTTTGTAAAGAAGTGCCTGGCACATAGCAGGTGCTCAACAAACAGTGTTGGCTGTGAGTCTTGTTAGCTGTCCTGGAGGGGTTGCTCATTCAGTTCATCGAATGCAGCAAGCACGGGAGGGCGAGCTGTTGATTCTGGTGATAGAGCCATAGGCAGGCTCTGCTGGCCAGACCAGAACAAGTTTAGTGTCAGGTCCCGCACTTTGAGGCCAGATTTCAGCCATTCCTCTTTAGGCTACGGAGCCTTGACTTGGCTGCCGTTGTTCTGAAGAAGATCAGAGGAGACTGGTGGACCACACGCCTCATAGTTGTTTCAGTCTGGCTGCTAGGCTCCCAGACTGCATCAAGAGAGTTCCCTCTCCATCTCCGCAGAGTCAGACAGCAGACCTGTCTGCTCTGGGTGACGTGGTGCAAACCTGGTCTAGCCCTTGCAGGGGGGACGTCGGCAGACTCTAGCGTGACTGGGGAGAGGTCGCAAGGAACAGATGATCTGAAAATTGTCGCCCAAGAAATGGATGAGGGAACTGGTGATAAGAGGCCTGGGGCAGATGAGGTTTGGGAGTGGGCAGGCGGTTGTCACACATCTGCTGGGCTGTCATCTGGAAGAGGGAGCAGACAGAGGGTGCGGGGGGCTCTGAGACGCCAGCTGGAAGATTCTGGTAGGCAGGTTTCCTGCAGCCTCATAGAGACTTTTCCCCAGGCTCTGCATTGGAGGGTGTGGTGTTTGTGCGTGTGTGATAATGAGTGTGTGAAGTGTGTGCGTGCATGTTTGTGTGAGTGAATGTGTCTGTATGTGAGTGTGTATCATGGTGAGTGTGTGTCTGTGTGTGTGCGTGTCTGTGACTGTGACAATGTGTAAGACATCTGGCTGTGTGACTGGGTGTGGTGTGAGTGTGTGATTGTAGGTATGTCTCTGTGTGTGATTGTGGTTGTGTTATCTTGTGCTGGTGAATGTGTGTGGTGATGATTAGGTCACTTTTGGGGTCTCAGTCTTTTCAGAAACTCCTTGTGTAGAAATCTGGAGCCACTGTGTTTCTGGGACCCTTGAGTTCCAGGGTTCTGGAATCCTGCTGCTGATGCGCTTACATGCTTGGGAAACCATCACAGGCTCCTTGTGCACTGGCCCAGTGGCTGGTGGTGTGGTCAGGTGCTGATGTGTGTGTTACCCCATTCATCCTCCCAGTGGCCCCACCTCAGAACAGCCAATAGCCTCATTTTATAGACAGGGCATCCAAGGTCCTTGCCAGGTTGTCATGTGCTAAGTTGAGTTGGTGTCAGAACTGGGACTCTGATACAAGTCTTGGCTTCCAGCTCTGGTGCTCTGAAGCATACACTATAGAGTGTAAGGTTATCATAGTTAATATCTTGGGTCTCTAAGGTTCGTTCTGGATGATTCTAAGATATTCTGATTCTGAGATTCCTGGATTCGAGGATTCACAGAATGAATCTGTTGTTCTTAGAGCTGTGACATTAGCTGATGTGTGGTTGTTGACAAAGGGATAAACAATTGCTGGCCTGTGTATACCTGTGAACACACACACAAATATGCACACACATGACTTGGGTGACCTGGTCAGGCCTTGGGTTCTTCTCCACCAGGACTCTGGGCTCTGCAGAAACAAGGCTTCCCCATACCATACTCTGCAGGCTCTGGAGTGCCTGCGGAAAGACCCTGGTAGGCAGATTCCCCCAGAGACTTGGGAAGACTTGAGGGTCCTTTGCCCATACTGGGGATCTTGGCTGGACCAGCAGCTGTAACTTCACTGCCTGGTGACTCAACTGGGAGGGAAAGATTGGCTCCAGGGCACTATTCTTTGTCCCAAGGTGGTGCCTGTGATGATTCAGTGGGCATGGGCTCAGGGGTGGCAGACCTGGCCTGGAACTTGACTCTGCCCTATACTGGTTGAATGATCTCAGGCACTGCTGGACTTCCTTGGTCCCCAGTCTCCTTCTCCATGAAGTAGGAATAAGCATGGTGTGTATATCATAGGACTGTGGTGGAAATCAACATGGACAGTGCATAGGAAGCCCTTTGCCCATTGCCTGGTACAGGGTCAGACTCAGAGCCTCTGTGATGCTGTGATGATGGTGGTGATGGTGGTGGTGGGAATGGTGATGGTGGTGGTGATGATGGAGATGATGGTGCTGCTGCTGATGGGTGGTGGTGGTGGAGATGATGATGATGGTGGTGGTGGTGATGGAGGTGGTGATGGTGGTGATGATGGTAGTGATGGTGGTGGAGATGATGATGATGGTGGAGATGATGGTGGTGGTGGTGGAGTTGATGATGATGGTGGTGGTGATGATGATGATGGTGGTGAAGGTGATGGTGGAGATGATGGTAATGGTGGTGGTGGTGATGATGGTAGAGATGATGATGATGGTGGTGGTGATGATGGAGGTGATGATGGTGGTGATGATGGTGGTGGAGATAATGATGATGGTGGTGGTGGAGATGATGATGATGGTGGTGATGGTGGAGGTGGTGGTGATAGCAAAGAGACGGTTAGGGTGACAGTCATTGTATGACACCGCTGGCCCCATACCTGCTTGGGCAACCACCTTCATGGGTCCTATAGCATCTTTCCATCTGTGTCACTTTGACTCTTCACGGGAGCCTGCAGAGGGAGACAGGAGCAAGGCTGAGCTTCACAGAGAGAAAAACTAAGACTCCAAGAGACCAGTGGAGTCAGGAGTGGGTGGGAGTATGCTGTAGATACAGTGGGGTCCTGATCCTGCCCCTAGTCATGGAGGCCAGTCTAGTCACACACCACTGCCTGTGGGGCCACCCTGGGAGCACTTAGAGGGAGGAGGCTCTGAACATGGAGGCAGCTCAGACTCTGGGGCCAGATGGACCTGAGTTTGAATTCAGAAATGCTGCCTACCACCTAAGGCGAGTGGTCGGCTTTCTCTGAGGCTCCATCTGCAGACAGGACAAAGCCCAGGGGGGCCCAGCTGCCAACTCCCCAAGAACCTTCAGCCACAGACACATGAGCAGCTGGGGACACGAGCTGGGCTGCTGGCACAGAGCAGAGGGGATTGGGAAGGGAGAGCTGAAGCCAGAGAGCTATGGCCCTGGCAGCTGCAAGGGGGCAGGCCGGCAGGAGATGGCCTGGAGGGTCACGGGGGAGCAGGTCAGAGGGTGGAGGCTGGGCGGGGCAGCGGGGAGTGGATTGGTGGCCTTGGCAGTCATGGTCTCTAAGAGCCCTGCAGTGTGGGAGGAGAGGCGTGAAAGCAAGGGACAACACGGTGTGACAGCTTTACACAGGGCCAGGTGAGGCACAGAGCAAGTTAGTACCAAGTGGAATGAGCTGAGAGCGAGGAGAGGAGGCGGTTCTGTGTGGTCCCAGAGGCCACGGCAGCCGTTACCACCTCTGCTGTTCCCGGCAGGGCTTTGGTGGAGCTGGGCTAGGTGGCATCGCGGCCAATGCCAGGCCAGGCTCTCCTGCCTGTAAAATATGCCTCAGAGCCACCCCTTTCTTTTCACCTCCTCCAGGACCCCAGGCCAGCCCAGCCCACCCTCTCAGTCTCCTTCTGGTTCTCCCCTGCCTCTCCACCTACTCTCCCTTCAGCCCATAGAGGGGTGGGGTTAAACACAGCCCCAAGCACAGCATGCCCTGCATAAACCCTTCCGTGGCTTCCTGTTGCACTTGGACTAAAACCCAAGCTCCTTCCGTGGGCTCACAACGGGCCCTGCCAAACTCTTCAATTTCATCCCTCCTCCCTGGTGCCAGCTCCGCCACACTGGCCTCATTTCTGTTCCTTAGATGCACCAGCTGTTCCTGGTACTTGGAGGCCTCTTCCCACCGAGCACCCATGGCTGGTGCCTCCGATTCTTGTTTTTATTGTAAAGGTCTTTCTTCAGAGGGCAAGATGGGTTCTTCCCGAGCCCACCTTTCTCCCGTGTTTATTTACTTCCCAGCACTTTTTACTTATTTAGTCACCAACTGTTTGCTGAGCACCTGTTATGTTCCAGGCACTGTCCAGGCACTGTATGCAGACCACAGTCCCTGCTCTCTTGCAGCCCCCTTTCATGGCCGGAAGACAGACACTAAATCATAAATATGTAAATACATAAATTAGGTGGCATGTTGAGTGGTGATAAGAGCTTTGGAAGCCTAGAGAGAAAAATGAATTGACACGTGTTCTTCTCTCCCTTGCTGGAATGAAGGCTGATGCCAAGTCTGGCTTCTTCACCAATGTAGCCCCCTGAGCCCGCACACTGCCTGCACATAGTA